ATTGCAGGCGGTGCCCCGAAACAGTGGTGCCCAACAGCAGAACAGGGAGAAGGATGAGAATGAGAAGGCAGAAGAGAAGGTTGATGCCCCGTCCAGCGGACCGATGGCGACAAACGGGGTGACAACACAAAAAGTGCGGCAGTAGTGCGCATCGGCTGGGAAAAACAGTGCAAGCGCAGGGCGCAATCAGCGCCAGACCGTCGCACGTGCGCCACGGATACGGCTAGCAACTGCACGCAGAGCAGGAAGAGAGACATGACGACCAGGCGTGATCGGGCTGCGCACTAAGCTCGCCACCCGAGAGAGGCGGGGAACCACCGAGGGCGGCGGCGGCAAGCGCGGGCGGAGACACGCTCGAACATGTCAGGACCTCTCGCGCACGTGCGAGGGCCGACAAACAGGACTGGGATGATCCCAAGTGTGTAGCCACAACCTAGTCGCCTCAGTTGTGTGCCATAGAGGTGACGACCACAGAACAAGCGACGGCGAAGGAGACGAAACTCCACCCGTGGCGCCCAAACAGACTCTGCGATCGCCCCGAGAGGGCAAGGCGGCAGCAACATCTGCCAATGTACTGGTCCTCCCCTTCCCCCTCGTCCTCCTCCTCATCCTCCTCCTCCTTCTCCTCCTCCTCCTCCTTCTCCTCCTCCTCCTTTTCTTTTTCTTCTTCTTGTTCCTCCTCCTCTTCCTTCTCCTCCTCCTCCTTCTCCTCCTCCCCCCCTTTGGCTCAAGCAGCCGTTCCGCGCCCGAGCGGCCCCTCCCGGCGTGAGCCTGCCTGGGCGTTCCCGAAACAAAATTCGGAGCGGCGAGGCTTCGGGGAACCGCCCGCCATCAAAAATCATGTTGCCGTCAAGAAGCGGCTGCGCCAGCCGTGGTGTAGCCGTGAAATGGCGCATGCAGGGGCGCCAGGATGTCTTCCCCTCCTTTCGTCCTCTCTTCTCGCTCCTCCTCCTCCTCCTCCCCCTCCTCCTGGCGAGCACCGGTGATGCCTGTCAGCACACTGGCATCAAAGCGCAGCGGGCCCGACGCCTTCATCAGCTACAGTGCTGGAACCAGCGTGTGCGAAAAGTGCGAAAAATGGCAACAAACTTTGGCCCGACTCTGCGAGCGGGCGAGTCGGAATACAGACCGACGTCCTCAGCTACAGTGTTGGAATCAGCGCATGCGGGAGGGGCGACCAGTGGCAGCAGGCTCTGGCTGGATTGCGAGAGGTTAGAGGCAGGCAGTGGCGGCAGATGCTGGCACTGCAAGGGGAGTGCAGGTGGGCCATGATCAGTAACAACGCTGGGGGCAGCCCGTGCGAGAAAGGGGGCGCGCAGTGGCAGCCGAAGCTGGCACTGCGAGGACAATGCGGGTGGGCCACGATCAGCTACAACATTGGGAGCAGTCCGTGCGAGAAAGGGGGTGCGCAGTGGCAGCCAACGCTGGCGCTGAGCGAAACGTGAGGGTGGGCCACGATCAACTACAACGCTGGGTGCAGTCTGTGCGAGAAAGGGGGCGCGCAGTGGCAGCACAGGCTGGCGCTGCGGGGACAGTCTGGAGCTCGACAGGCGAAGGACGAGCCTGACGGCATCAGCTACAGTGCTTGGGTCAGGGCATGCGTGGCGAAGGTCGAGCCCGATGCCATCAGCTACACCCGGCAGGTCGCCAGATGCTGGAGGAGGAGTCGGCGCCCGACGTGGGCAGGCAAGTCGAAAGACGAGCCCGATGTCATCAACTACATCCGGCGAGCGTGGAGAAGCTGGAGGCGAAGACGGAGTCCAACAGTGCGGGCGGGTCACGATCAGCAGCGCCGGGGGCAGCCCGTGAGAGGAAGGGGGCATTCAGTAGCAGCGGACGCTGACGCTGCGAGAAAACGGCTACGAGAAGCGGGGGGTGAATGTAGAGCCCGATGGCGATCCCCTCCATCGTGGCTGCGGCTGGGCGCGGACGAAAGCTGGCCGGCTCAGATACTACTGCCACATAGTGGAAGTAAGCTGGAGCCAGAGTCTCGAGCATCCACCTCTTAGCTACAACGCTGGAGTCAACTCGTGCGAGAAGGGGAAGACAGGCAATGACAGCAAGGACTGTCAGGCGTGTCAGCCGCGTTTCAAGCCGAGCTTTTCTAACGATCAGTGTAAATGGACGGTATTGTGAAAGAAAAAAGAAAACACATAGAAGACCAGGAAGATCTCCTCCTCCTTCATCAGCAAGCCGACGAAAAGGCGACATGTGAATGCCGAAGACAATGGTGGGTCATGCCCCACCTGCGCTTTACATGCCTTCCTCCTCCTCCCTCCCTGCTTCCTCTGCTGACATATCTTTCTCCTCCTCACCCTCCTCCTCCTCCTCAGCTGACGTTTCTTCCTCCTCTATCTCTACCTCTTCCTCCGCTCTTTCGTCTTCTTCTTCTCCCCTCAGACGTCGCCTCTTCCTCCTCTCGCCGCCCGAGGGGTCTCCGCGGAGGCTTGGGCGGCGCCTGGCGCCGCGCTGTTGCTTCTGCTGGTGCTCGTCCGCGGTGGTGGCGCTGTTGCTGCAGCTGCTGCTGCCGCTCCTTCCCCGCCGTCTCCTCACCCTCCTTCTCCAGCTGCCGCCTGGGCTGCCGCTGGGGCGGCGCTGTGCGCCGCGCTGCCGCTGCTGTGGCTGCTGCGCCTCTCCGCTGCCGCCGGTGCTGGCGTGCTGCTGCTGCCTCTCCTCTGCGTCGCCGCTCAGCCTGGGCCGCGTGCGCCACTGGCTGGCCCCGGGGTCGCCTCCCAGGCTGCGCAAGGCGTCTCGGTGCTGTCCCTGCTGCTGGCCGGCATCCTGGTGGCGAGCCTTGGACACCGCCGCCCGCACCGACGCCATGAAGGCCATCCTGCGCTTGAGCTCGTCCGTCTCCGCCTCATTTCGTAGGGGCTGTACTGGCCACCCAGTCCGGCGGGTGAATGGATCTCGCGGCACCTCAAGCCCTACCCGCCATGGGCGCCAGAGCGGGCAGGCCCAGAAATCATGATCAGCACTCGGAAGCGCGCCCGTGTTGCACCGCGAACAGGGCCGCTCCGGTTGTCCCTTGGCCTTCGCCAGGCGGAGGTCGGACCAGTAGTCACCAGTCAAGATGCACGCAAAACCCGCGCCGCCCTTCTCTGCTATCAGGTCGTTCGCAGCCTTGTTGGCTCTGTGGCAGTACCGCGCCACTGCTTGACGTGCCATGCTGCTGTCTCTCCTCTTGGCCCCCAAGAAGGCGGCCCAGAGCCCGCGCCGCCACGCTTCCCGCAGGAGGTACTCGCGCGTCCCGATGTCCGCCGCCACGCCGAACTCCCTGCCAAAGTTGGATTCAGCGCTCTTGAAGACCAAGGTGTCGTCCTCGTTCTGCACGGCGGCCCACTACAGAGCCTCCATGTTATGCAGGCACACGCCCGTCATCCCAGCGCACTGCAGGCTGAGGCCCTGCCTGGCCAGGAACATCTGCGAGAGGCGCTGCTCGCCGACGAGCTCCCTGTACTTTTCCACCATCCTCCAAACTCGTTGCGTCATCATCAGCAGGGGGCTGGAACGATGACGACAAAGTACCAGATCCGAGAAATGGGGTGACGCAAAACCCCACTGAGAAGCTTTGATCGCATTCCTGACACTCTGGCTTAGCTCACGATGCTTTCCCTTCGGCGCCCAGCGAACCACGAAGGACCACGTCAGCGCCGGCACGCAGCTCGAAGTCACCAGGACGTGCCGCTTCTGGCACGGTAGCCCCAGTTTGCGCACTCTCGCGGCACGCCGCCGCAACTCCTCGATCTTGCCCTGCTCGCGCTCCGACAGTACGGTGCCCTTGCCGAGCAGGATGTCGACGCCCAGGAGCTTGACCTGCGCTCTGCCTTTCTCCTCTGTCCTCCCCAGCGTCTCGGCCCTCTGCTTCTTCCTCTGCTGACCGCGCGGCCGCGCCGAGCGAACGACGAAGTCATCCTGCTTGTCCGTGTTCGACCGCATCGAAGTGAGCTCCTCCAGGCGCGCCCACACGCTCTCAATCCTCTGGATCCCCTCTGCTGTCCTGGCGGCGGCAGCCCTGTCGTCGGCGTACACCGAGAGAACCGAGCCCGGCGCTGCAGTGGCAGCACGGAGCGTGGGAGCGCACAGCACCGTGGCCATAGCGAGCATGCTGAGTGGGTCCCCCTGGGGGATCGAATGCACCGTGCACACAGGGTCCGGGCACACGAACCCTCCCAGTTCCACATATCTTTCTTGACACTGCCAGAGCCCCACAACCGACTCAACGAGCCACGCTGGGACGCCCAATTCTTTCCAAAGTCTCTCCACAAGTTTCGGATGCACCCTGTCGAAGGCCGCCTTGTAGTCCCATGTCCTGACGTGGCATTCCGCCCAAGCTGCCCGGAAACACTCGTTGTCCAGCTCCTGTTCCTCTGCCTCGTCCTGTTGTAGTTCTTTCGCCTCCTGCAGCATGGTGGTCGCCTCAATCCTCTCCAGAATCGGGGCGAGCAGGCTCTCAAGGTGTCTTCCTTTCATGCCTCCCGCCTGGCTCTTGGGGAACATGGGCTCCAAGTATGTGGAGACCTGACTTGCTCTAAACTTGTGGAAGGCGCGGATGATGGTGGATGCAATTGCGATCGGCCGGCCGGATCTTGCCCAAGATCATGCCTCCCGCCTCCTTCGGGATGCTGCATTGCCGCCACTTCCGCAACTGCCGGGGCCAGCGTGCATCCTGCTCACACTGGAGGCATAGCGCCAGCAGCTCCTCGAGCGCCTCGTCAGGGAGGAAGCCGAGCTCTTTCGCCGACCACTGGTCGCACCCCGCCGAAGTTTTGCCCATGTCGCGCTGGGTAGACTGATTCGTTATGGGGTTGCGGCCGTTCACCAGGAGCCCATGTGAGTACAGACTTGCGCACGGCGAAGCAGTCGGGCCCTGTGCCTTCCATCAGGTTTCAGACCTAAGTAGCGCGATCCAGCACAATCCTCCTCCCCCCCCCCCGCCGCTGCCGCACCCCCCCTCCCTCCCCCCCTTCCCCAGGGCGGATGCGGGAGCGCGGCGCTGCCAGACTCGGTGCGCCGCGCTGCATGGCCTGCGGCAGGGGCGCAGCGCCTGCCGCCTGCGAGCTCGCGCTGCTGATGCTGGGGGCGCTGCCTGCGAAGAGGAGAAGAGGAATGGAGGGGAGGGGGGAGGGAGGCAGAGAGGGAGAGAGGGAGGGAGGGAGAAGTGAGGGGGGAGGAGAAGGAGGAGGAGGAGGAGGAGGAGGAGGAGAAGGAGAAGGAGGAGGAGGAGGAGAAGGAGGAGGAGGCTTAGCGAGTGTTCTAAGCTTTCCTTGAAAGCACCGAAAACCTCTCAGAAGGCCGGAGGCCTTCTCAGAAGCCCCGCCGCCTTCTGAGAATGTCATCTCCTTCTCACTTCCCTCCCTCGCTCGTCGTCGACTGTACCCAAAACTGTTGACATCGAGCCTTTAGCTACACCGCCTTTCGCCGAACTTCCGCTGGCGTCCGCCGGCGGACCCGCCGCCGCTGTAATTACTTCTGCCGGCCTGTCGCTCTGTCGAGGGTGCGATGCGCCCGAGGCGATGCTCTTTCTGGAACGTCCCCGATGTCGAGAGGTGCCAGCAAACAAAATGATCGAGACAAACATCGTTCAAGAAATCTGGGCCAGCTTCCCACAACATTCAGAAGACAAGCAGGAACGCTGGCCCAGCTTTCCGGGAGAAGGTTTCTTCAACAGGTGCTCGACTGCAGTCCTAGAAAGTGCCAACTTTTCATGGGGTAGCGGAGTGTCTCGAGCCTGGGTCTGCCCAGTCTGCTGACTGCTGCTGCCTTTCCTTCCTGCTCCTCCCCAGGCTGCGTGGCTCCCACGGTGAGCGCCAGGGGCCCACACTCTGGCCGAAGCCTCGGAGGGGCAGATGGGAGTCTGCTGGACGGCACCTCACAATGTCACCGAACACTCGAGCGACGAAAAGGAGCGGGTCTTACTACGGGGGGGAGGGAGGGAGAGAGGGAGAGAGGGAGGGAGGGAGAAGTGAGGGGGGGGGAGGAGGAGGAGGAGGAGGAGGAGGAGGAGGAGGAGGAGGAGGAGGAGGAGGAGGAGGAGGAGGAGGAGGAGGAGGCAGCGACCTTACGCCGCGCGCGGATTGCCAGCGCGGCACGTCGCGCGGCGAAGAGGAAGAGGAAGTGCGTGCGCGCGACCGGAGGCCCGCGCGACCTCGCGCGGGGAGCCTGCGCGCGGATGTCCGTGCAGCCGACCCCCACTTTCTCTCGCCGCCCACTCGGGGGCAATCACCTCGAGACGCTGCCGACGGCCGATGCTGCCGCTGCTGCCGCTGCTGCTGGTCCTCCTCCTCCTCCTCCTCCTCCTCCTCCTCCTCCCTTTCCTCCTCCTCCTCCTCCTCCTCCTCCTCCTTCCCTCCTCCTCCTCCTCCCTCCTCCTCCTCCCTTTCCTCCTCCTCCTCCTCCTCCTCCTCCTCCTCCTCCTCCTCCTCCTCCTCCTCCTCCTCCTCCTCCCCCTCGGTAGGCGGCAGCGGCAACTCGAGGTCAGGACGTATACACACCCACCGCCTGGGGAGCCGATGCTCCAGGGGAGCCCAGGAGGCAGCGGACCTGGACACCTCGGGGCCTCCCGGCGCCCGAGACCATCCATGTCCACTGCCTCCTGGGGTCCTGGGGTATCGGCTCCCGGAGGCGGAGGAGGAGGAGCAGGAGGAGGAGGAGCAGGAGGAGGAGGAGGAGGAGGAGGAGGAGGAGCAGGAGGAGAAAGAGGAGGAGGACGAGGCGGTTGAAACCCAGACGCCCGACGACGTGATTATGCCAGCGTGCTGCCCCAGAAGGTGTCGGCCCCTTCCCCTGGGCCAGTTCTCCGCCCAGGATCAGTGTTTGAGGCCCCGCCGCCCCGAAGACGGGCCCCAGAGGCCGAGATCCAGGAGGACCGCCCCTGTTGTAACGGTGGCATCTCGTCTGATACCTGGGCACAGCGAAAGGTGCCCAGGGATACACACAGAGAAGTAGACCCACACATCCCAGGACTCCCAACGTGTCTTTTCATGTGGTCGCGATGTTCGTCTTCCCCCCTCTTCCCATGTTTTCCTTTATTTTCCTGGGGGGGGCAACGATTAGTGATCGTTTTCTTATTCGGCGTTTCGATATTGGGCGGACGGGGACTGCTTCATGCAAGTGTTTGCAGCAGTGCTATGTGGGAGACTCCACCTGCCTGAAACAGGCGCCCAAAACAGGCAAGAGCTGCTCCGGCGGGGGGGAGGGGGGGTGCGAGGGCCCGCGCCGATCGGCAAAACCATGAATCAGAAAACGATCACTCACTTGTGTCTGCGTTGATGCTTCCTTCCTGAACCAGCTCCGCCAGCGGACGCAGCAGCGGAGGCGGCGGCGGGCAGCGGACCGCGGCCGCGGGAGACGTCGTGTGCCAGCTGGGCGTTGCTGAGGCGCACGGGGGGCGGCTCGCGCTGCACATGCTCGACCTCGCGGGCCTCCTCGGGCGCGCGGATTTGAAGCAGCCAGCGTGCTGGTAGGGATCCCCGGCGAGCACGGACGCCACCTCTCAAAATTTTTGCTGGCGAGCGCTGGCCCGAAGCCCAGATCTCCGACGACATGATGCTTTTCATCGGGGGCTTCTCTTTGATTTCGGCCTTTGGTCAATCTTCGGGCCCTGGGGCCATCAAGCACGAATCCGGGGCGAAAAACCAGCCCTGGGGAAGGGGTCGGCGGGGCCTGTCCTCTGGGGCCGCACAGTGAAACACAAGCATACCTTGTCGAATATCTGGGTCTCTCAGCTTCTGCGAGCGTGCACCGACACAGAGGCTGGGATACCTTCTGGCTCCTCCGGAGCGCCCAGTGCCCCCAAAGGACGACCGGCGAGAAGAGACGAGCAGCAGCAGGAGAAAGATCAGGATCTGAGCAGGAAGAGGAGGAGGAGGAGGAGGAGGAGGAGGAGGAGGAGGAGGAGGAGGAGGAGGAGAAGGACAAGGAGGAGAAGGAGGTAAGAAACGCAGTACATTGCCTGGTGCCAGTGAGTGACAGATTTGTGAGAGGATGCTCCCGCTGCCGTTTTCAGATCAACTCTCAGCAGCCTGAAGTCTACATGTGCCCGGGGCGTGCGCGTGTAAAAAGTCTCAGGGGACGAATCGATCGTCGAGGTGAAGGCCCTGGGCGGAGCCAGGAGAGATCAGGTCAGTACTCGCATTGATCTTGAGCCAGGTCGAGTCTTCCAGCAAAGACGGTGGCCGAGACGAACGCTCAGTGCGGTCAGGCCGGTGGCCAGTGGCGGAGGTTGTCCGGCAAGGGCAACAGTGCGGCGACGGAGTTCAAGAGCTGGAGACGCTGGATTGGGGCCAAGCTGGCCGTGGAGATCAGGCGCGGGCTGCCAGCAGAAGCAGTTGGGCCCCTGGTGCTGACGCTGCTGGACGATGAAGCGGAGAAGGCATGCGAGCATCTGGAGTTTGCAAACATCGAGCAACCGCACGGCGAACATGCAACTTGTAATGCCCTGGAGGAACGGTTTCCAGATAAGGAGGCGAGCGACAGGATCGGGGATGCCCTCGAGAGCGTGTTCGGGCTCACTATAGAGCGAGGAGAGACGTCTGCGGCGTATACGGGGAGAGCCCGCACTATCTTCGCAAAGGCGGGGAAGCCAGGAGTTGAACTACCAGCAGTGGCACCAGGATTTCTGCTCCTCGGAGGGGCGAGGCTTGGCATGGAGCGTCGACCTGTCGTGCCGGCGGCCAGTCAGCGCCAATGGGGTTTCGCGGAGATGTCGGCAGCGATCAGGACGGCGTTTTCAAGGCAGATGCCGACGACTCAAGTGCACGAGGCGATCCCAGAGGCAGACGAGTGGCCGGTGCCCCCAGAGCCGTGGACTCCAGCGGCGGAGGCCAAGACAGCATCGACGGCGGAGAGTCTCGAAGAAGAGATCAGCGAGCTGTTACAGGATGAGGGCCCAATCGATGAGGAAGACGCGCTCGTCATCTTAGCTACGTGGAAGGAGACAAGGACAGCGATGACACAGGACAGATTGCAAAGAGGTCTGCCATCCAAGGAGAGCTACAAGCGGCACACGGACAGGAGCAGATGCTTCCTGTGCCGGGAGATCGGTCACTTCCACCAAAAATGGCCCTAAATGGAGGAACCAGCCCGGACCCCAGAACGGGCAGCGACGACCGGGTGGATTCATGAAGCGCACGTTCCAGTCGAAGCGCGTGAGCCAGGGGGCAGTGCAGGTCATGATGGTAGGCCATAGCGGACAGCAGATCGACGACATATGGGACGTTGTGGACATCTTACTGGCGTAAGTGACGAACGAAGAGCGGTTCCGACGTCTGACTCGTGAGCGCCGAGATGGAGATCAGGAGGCAGATCACGATGAGATTGAGGAGGCTGACGACGAGAAACAGGAGACGGAGGTATGCGCGTGTCATGCCCCAGGATGCGGAGCCTTGGACTCCGGGTGCGGCATGACCCTGATCGGTACCGAGACGCTGAAGAAACACACTGAAGCGACAGGCATCGAGCCGGAGTGGGAGGACGACGTGGCGAGCATCAGGTTCAAGAGCTACGATGGCAAGCTGCGGCGTTCCCAGAGGGCGTGCTGGATCCAGTGGTTGTTCCCTGACGTCAATCGGCGTGTGAAGATCCTCTGCTGCGATTGAGGGATCAGCTGGGCTCCTGATCAGTAAACCCGTGATGAAGATGCTGCAGGCTACCCTCGACATGGCGGAGAATCGACTTTACCTGAAAGGCTTGGAATCACAGTGCCAGTGCGTGAGGCAGCTGGCAGTGGACACTTCGAGATCGACCTGCTGGGAAGGGCGTTCGAGCACCAGCCGATTCCAGACGCGTCGGTGGACGGCTCGAAATTGAAGATCGAGAAGCTGGACGGCCATTTTCAGTAGTTGCCGGACCGGCGCCCTGAGGGCAATGAGGTCGTAGATGTTTTCAGTGTTCAGGTTCCGGGCGTGATGGAGATTTTCTCACCACCAAGGGTTGCTCTGGTGGCCCCTCAATACGGCATGAAGGACATGGGGTCGTTCCACAAAGTGAACGGCTGGGATGCTCGGATTCCCCAGGACCTGCAGGACTTATGGGAGAAAATCAGAAGCGACGGGCCCTACTGTGTGGTGATGACACCTCCGTGTGAAAAACTGACGGCCCTCCAGAACCTGACTCCAGACAAAAAACGAGTGGACCTAGCCAAGCATCTTGGGGAAGTTCTGGAAGCCATAAGGTATGCTTGGGAGTGTGTTTGGATAGCCGAGTATCAGGTGTCACAGGGTCGACACTTTCTCTTCGAGCCACCTCCGACTGCAACGACCTACAACCTACGCCCAATGCAACGACTCCTGCAGAACCCAAGCGTTTCCACGGGATCAGTGGGTGCCGGGTGGGTCTCCGACATCCGATTTCAGGAGTCCTTCTGAGCAAGCGCTGGAAGTTCGTATCATCCTGGTTCGTAAGATACTTCAAGGTTTGTCCAAGACGAGCGTGATCCAGGACGGCGGGGAGGAGGCGGTGGTATGTGCGATGGAGGATGCGGATGAGGATGGAGGCCAGGAAATCCCACGACGACCCCAAAATTTTGAGGCGGCCCTCCGACATGGTTACACGTACATTTGGGACATGCGACGGTTGCGACGATGATTCGACATTTACGACACGCGAATGCGAGTTCCGAGGCCCTCCGACAGGCTGCGAACTTCTACTGTAACGAATGTGCTTCCCGTCAGAGGCCTGGTATCGCTAGGTGCAGCTCCCCTCCTACTCTCCAAACTCATCTGAAGATGGTGTGCATGGATGTGAAGGGGCTCCCATATTATATTCCAGGTGAGCGTCGGAAGTGCTTGAACCTAATGTGTGACGCATCTTCGTTTCACGTGATGGCCCCATTTCGAAAGGGAGAGACGGAATCCTCATACGTGGTGCCGCGCACGTATCGTGACAACTGGACCTGGCCCCTTATGAGGCCCAAGTGGCTGAAAGTGGATGCTGGGAGTGCCAATGTGTCAGTGTTTTTCAGGGCGCTATGGATCGGATGGGCCGATTCTTGTAGACACGGCCGGGAAAGAGCAGAACGGGAAGGCAGAGCTGCACGGGAAGTGGTTTGAAGCGATACTTCAGACAATGCTCGACGAGCTTCAGCCTCAGGACGAGGAGGAGTGGCTTGAGTGAGTGGCGCAGCTCCAGGAAGCAAAGAATTCTAGGTTGAACGTGGGAGGTGTTTCACCATGTCAGATCGTTTTTGGTCGAAATCCTGGGATCCCAAAAGACTTGCTTCAGGAGAGCCCGGACTTGGTTGCCAACAGCTGTCTGCATCACGATTCAGTGGCTGCTCGGGCAGCCTGCATCCGAGCGATAGCTCGTCGGACCATCCTGGCGCACAACGAGAAGAAAACTGCTCGGGTGGTCTTAGACGCTCGACCCCGGGTCCATCGTGTGTATCAGGCTGGGGATATGGTGGCCGTCTGGAGGAAGATGAAGGGAGCTGTTGCTGGGAAGCAGTCCTCTTCTCGGTGGCGTCCAGGGATCTGTGTAGGACCCGTTCGAGGTAACTGGGAGTTTGGTAATAGCATCTCCAGAACATCTTCGAGAGGCGACTCAGGAGGAACGTACCGCCTGGAGACTCGTAGAGGCTGAGCTTCGATCTACGACGGTGGATCTCGATTACCTACAGGGCTGATATTTCGAGGACATCTCCAGGGGACCACGGCCCCCAGAGGGCCCAGAGGAGGAGGAGGAGGAGCAGTACAATCCAGCATGGGAACATGCAGATGAGCCTCAGCAGCAGCAGGAGCAGCAGCAGCCCGACGACCGCGAACCTACATCAGAAACGACCGACGAAGCGACGCGAGGCAGTTCGGCCAGTGCTCCGACTCCAGTTCCTCGGTACCCTAATTCGCGAGTGCCAGTCGGTGATCCCCGACACCCTACGGCCTCAAGACGTAGTGCTACCAAGGGCCCATATCGTTGTGTGTTGGTTCCGGTGCCAGAGGAGGAGGACCTCCCGGCCTGGAAGGTCCTAGGCTCGCTTGTCCACCAGGTCTGTCCAACGCCAGCTGTGCGGAGACTCCGCTGGTCGACTGCGGTGCAGTTACTACGGACGGCGATGACGAAGCCCCGATCTTGGCAGTAAATGAGACTGAGGTCTTGCTAGCTAGAGGACGGAAGGAGGAACGTGAGAAGGATCCAAGGTGGATGACGGTGGAGGACAAAGACAGGTGGATAATGCTTATCATAAAGAATACCTAAAGCTGATCTCGGAACAGAAAGCATGGAAACCCCGGTCTCTAGATAAATCCCGTCGACTACGGCTGGACGTTCCAGATCGTATCCTACCGTCTAGGCCTGTTTTAACATTGAAGACGGACGACGATGGCAACACGGAACTACCTACGATGTAATATGACGGTACAAGGGTTTAAGGATCCGGATGTATTGCATATGGTGCGTGCAGGCAAGACCCAAAGTCCGACTTTGTCTGTGACTGGCAAGGCAACGCTTTTGCAGTTGGTGGCCTCCGCTTGTTTTCAGCTGACCTTGGGAGATATTCGGGGAGCGTTCCTGGAAGCCGATGCGAAATTTCGCCCGAATGGGCCAGTGTTCGTGTGCCCCCCGAAAAATCACATTCCGAAGGGTCACCATCCAGAGCAGCTGTACGAGCTGGTGAACAACTATGGTGGAGTTGACCAGCCTCAATGATGGTACTCTACTTTTGAGCCCTTTGCCGAGGAGATCGGCTTCGTGGCCCATCCTCTCGATCCCTGCCTGTTTATGATGTTCGAGCCCGTGAGGTCCGATAAGGAAGAGCCAGCTGATCCTGTTTGTGTTCCTGCAGGTTCTAAGCACGGGCCCCCGGGAGCTCTATGTGGAGTGTCCGGTATTCATGTTGACGATACGGTGGGAGGTGGCAGGGGAGTACTATGGGAGGATGCGATGATGACGATGACACGACGATTCCCATGGAGGAAATGGCGACATGGGGAAGGGGAGTTCACGGGATCTTGGTTACGACAACTACCAGATGGTATGATTGTGCAGTCCCAAAAACAATACGCTGAAGAGATGAAACCAGTGAAACTCAAACGACAAGCCCCCAACGACGGCAAGGCACTTCCAGGTGAGATCTCGGCTGTCATTTGAATGAACCAGGCAGGCAACTGGCTGGCCGGTCAGTCTCGACCGGATCTCTCGTGTCAGGTCAGTCGCAACCAACAGCTGCTGCCGCATCCGACCGTGAGGGAGATAAAAGAGGCGAATCTGCTTGTGCCTCGGGCTCGACAACAGAAGGACCTCACGATTCGGTTCTTCCCGATCCCACTCAAGGATATACGCCTGATGATCCATACTGATTTTGCCAGGGGTGAAAACGACGGCCTTCGACGGACCCAGGGAGGTTATGTACTTAGCGTGACGGACCCCGAGATGCAGAAAGGCGAGGTATCACCTTGGAATCCTGTAGTCTGGAGAAGCTATCGGCTCAAGAGAGCCATACGATCTTCTCTGGGTGGGGAGGCGTCAGTACTAGCAGACGGTGTGTGACATATGGAATGGGTAATGGGTTTCTTTGCGGGTGCGATGTTTCCGCAATTGACCTTGGAAAATCGATACGAGTTCCTCAAGAGGTTCGAGGCTATCGCCATCGTTGATGCAAAGTCCGCATGTGATCACATCAACAAGATTGGGTCTCCAGGAGCCCTCGAGGATAGACGATGTGCAGTGGAGATGATGATTGCTCGGCAGGCCCTCCAGAGGTTCAATGGATGTCTTCGGTGGGGCCCGACCTCTGCTCGCTGACGCGCTTACGAAGGAGAAGGCAGATGCCCACGATCCTCTCAGAGCGTGTGTTCGATCAGGTGTACATCAATTGGCTGATGAGTCGTCTACCCTGGAGTCGGCCGCTGCGGAACGAGAGCGTCATTGTGTCCGTAGAAAGTTTTCCTCAAGCCAGGCGGGAGATCAACCGCCCCCGACGGTCAGTGCCGCATGCGTGATCTGCGAGATGGTGGGAGCGAATGCGTCCGGAGATCCTGAGAGCGTTCGAAATCTACTCGAGAGCTTGACGACTAGGAAGAGCCCCTACCCGGCCACTGTCAAATGCATCTCAACGGCCAGGAAAATGGTTGTGACCATCCCAGCCATGGCGTTAGATTCTGGGCTCACAGGAGCTTCTCGCGGCCTGAGAGTGACCCTCCCCTACCACAACAGCACGAACTACATCCAGGTGATGTGCCCAGCGACGGTAGAGGACGCGATGGTGATCCAGCTAGCCGAGCTGGAGGTGAGATATGCCAAGACGATCCAGACTCCGAAGATGAAGATGGAGCTTCCAGAAGGCTGCAGCCACCTCAGCGACGTCCTACGCTTCCCGCCGCAGGGGACCGAGGGCAAGGGTACTGCGCGGTCCAGTGTGCTGAAGGAGGAGGAGCGCAAGTTCGTAAAGCTCGAGCGTGTCGAGATTCCGCAGGACAGCATCGAGTACAAGGAGGCAATCGAGAAGATCGCTGTCGCGGTGACCACGGAGATGAGCAACTTCCCAGAGCAGAGAGATGCCACATTGGCGGTGCTGCAAGGATCGTTCGGCCTGACCATGACCACCGATAAGGCTGATGACGCAGCCTTGTGATCTGCCTCGGAGGGGAGTCGAACGGGCATCAAGCAACACAAATTTTGAGTGAATGTGAAACGCAGTACATTGCCTGATGCCAGTGAGTGAGAGATTTGTGAGAGCATTCTCCCGCTGCTGTTTTCAGATCAACTCTTAGCAGACTCAAGTCTTCATGTGCCCGGGGCGTGCGCGTGTGAAAAGTCTCAGGGAACGAGTCGATCGTCGAGGTGAAGGCCCTGGGCGGAGCCAGGAGAGATCAGGTCAGGATTCGCAGGAGGAGGAGCAGCAGCAGGAGCAGGAGCAGGAGCAGGAGGAGGAGGAGGAGGAGAAAGAGATCAGGAGGATGAGGAGGAGAAGAGGAGCTGGGGGGGCTGGAGAAGGACGGAGGAGGGAGGGAGTTCAAGTAGAAGGAGCCGCATCGGGAGGCAAGAAGGGGGAAGACGCAGCAGGGAGAGACCAGGGATGAGAGAGGCGGAAGGTGTGAGAAGATGCGCGGATCCACATGCTATGGCACCATCCTTCGGATTACCCCACACGAGTGCAATCGCACACTGCGCTTGGATAGCGAGCATCAAAGAGGCCTGGGCAGGTAAATGCGTGATAGACGGAGTGAGGGAATGAACCCACCAGGGCAAACATAGCTACGAGCAGGCGCTGACAAGAGATATGGCAACGCAATCTTCACAACATCGGTAACAACATAAGGCCAATGCCTGATCATCATGTTTATGGTCTTTGCTGATCCTCATATTCTCGGTCCAGCAGGAACAGTCGGCACATGACAAGGAGCCGCGCTACTCTAGGGCCGCGTATTCGCATCACTCGACCACGACTGAAAATGGCGCCTCCAACAATTAGATGTTTGCATGTGCTCTCCTCCTGCAACCCCCCAAAAAGAAGGACCCGTCCTGCACAATAGCGCAAAGACAACATAACGTCCACGCCAAACAATCCTGCGAGAGGCTTGTCGCCGTGTTGTGGGAGTAGCCGAACAGTCTGCGCAGCTGCTGGCGCCAGTATACGCCCAGAGGCACGATGAGGACCTACCACAAGCTCATGTGTGGTGGTGGTACTGGTGTCGATGGTGGTCGCGATCGCTATGGCGGCATTCGTGGCCGTATGGTGTCGCCAAAACAAACTAAGAAAATTGGCGCATGTAGACGCCCTGGATCAACACGCATGCATCTCTGACTTCCGCTGGCCTCCGCCAAGTTTCGCTGGCCTCCGCAGGCTTCCGCCAAAGAAGAAAAGGCGTTCCTCGAAATCGAAGTCCTTCCTGGTGCGCCCCGCAGACTTATCTGCGATGGGTTGGGACAGGGCAGCGCTTCAAGCGAGGAGGCATCATCTCGTTAAGCAGGCTGGGGGGTGCAGAAGTTGGGCGCGGGCCGGAGAGATCCCGCCGCCGCGGCGCCCAGAGGGCACGGGAGGACCAAACTTGGGTTGAGTGGATGGGGACTGGCCCCGCTCACCCTAGCGTGTTTATGTGTTTTTGTGTGTTTTGTATTTCTTGTTACTTGACCACATACACATACATATACATATATATATATATATACATATTTATATATATATTTACACGTATGCCGTTAATCTATAGAGTCCGTACACATTAGAACCATGCATGCGTGCTCCGCGCGCGCTTAAGTTCTAGCACGTCCCAGCCCTCGACAGCCACACGGCTGCACATGTGAACTACTTGAAAATATGTACTGAGCAGAAGTTGCAACAACTATGACAAGGACACCCTCAGAGGGCCAGGGAGGACATCCTCACCACAGGCTCCTCCCTTTTGCCTCCTCCTCAACGTCCTCCTCCTCTTCCTCCTCCGCCTCCTCCTCCTCCTGTTCATCAGCTTGCCTCCTCACTCGTCCCGCCTCTTCGTCCCTAATTCCTCCGACCCCCATCCTACGCGCTCCTCGCCTTCCCTAATTTCCGTTTCTTGTTCTTCTTCTCCCCTCCTTGCTCCTCCCTCTTCCACGCATCATCGCCCCTCCCGCCCTGCCCTCCTCTCTCCAATTCCTGCCTCCCCCCTTGTCTCTCCTGCCAGCGGCCTTGGATTACTGGACGATCACGTGGCGCTCTTCGGGCTCTCGTGGGGCCCTCTTCTTCCTCTGTTGGCCTCTCTTTGGAGCTGTCTGAGGGGCTCCTGGGGTCCTCTTTGGGGTGTCTTGGGGCGGTCTCCGGGGCCCAGGGACCAGCTGGGACGCTCTTGCC